CACCAACCTGATCTTCCTCTGTTTCAGTCTGAACGCATCACCCCTTGTCCTATCACTCCAGTCCCTGATGTAGAGTCTCTCTCCAGCATCCTTGTAGCCCCCTTCAGACACTGGAAGCTGCTCGGAGGTCTCCACGCAGCTTCTCTTCTCCAGGCTGAACAGCCCCAATGTTCTCAGCCTGTCTCCATACAGGAGCTGCTCCAGCCCCTGCCCATCCTCGTGGCCTCCTCTGCACTTGCTCCAACAGCTCCATGTCTTTCTTATGTTGGGGACACCAGAACTGCACCCAGTGCTGCAAGTGGAGTCTCACAGGAGCAGAGTAAAGGGGCAGAATCACTTCCTTTGACCTGCTGGTCATGCTCCTTGTGATGCAGCCCAGGATACGGTTGGCAAATCATTGGGATTTAAGTTTTCTCCTCATATTTAATTCCTGACCCACCAGGATCAGTTTGTAAAGGTCTAATGCTTTGCATCACTGAGATCTGCTACTTCTGATCCAGCAACAGGGACTCAGCACAGTATTTACTGTCTTGTGAGACATTCATCAACACATACACAAGTCCCAGTCATTCTAACCCACAGAGATTTAGAGTAGGCAAGTCTCAAACGCCATCCCTAGGGCACAGCTTCTCCTTCTTTTTACAGAGGAGATAAATCAACATCTTTCACAGGTGAATTTAAGAGCCATTTCATTATTAGCTTTTTAAACCCAGTACAAGTATTTGAAGCCTGAGCTGTTTCTGACATCTTTAAGCACTATCTCTTCTTTTCAAGGCAAGGTAATACAAGAAGCAAAATTAAGATTCTAGAGTTCACAAATTGAAGCTATGGAAAAGGCCAGCACTCCAAGAAGTAGTTTTTTGTTAGATGCAAGCAGTGGCAACGTTCAGCTCTTCACTCCTGTTACCTGGCCTTCAGTGATGGCTCGCAGCAGCAGAGGACAGGGTCCCCTCTGTTATGCTGCAGAGAGAAGGGTTTTGCTGTGGGAAAATGATGTTTTAAAGGCAGAAAATGTTTGTCCTGCACAGGACTGCTAATGAGACTCATCTTCCTCATGCTTGAGAGCAAAAGCTGTATGTCCTTAAACACAAATCCCTATTTATTTGCTGTGACATTCCTGGCCTGTATCAGCCCCAGTGCGGCAGCAGGACCAGGGCAGGGGCTGTCCCCCTGTGCTGGGCACTGTGAGGCTGCACCTCGAATCCTGTGTCAGTTCTGGGCCCCTCACTGCAAGAGAGACATTGAGGTGCTGGAGCGGGGCCAGAGAAGGGCACCGGAGCTGGAGCAGGGCCTGGAGCACAAGTGTGATGGGGAAGGGCTGAGGGACCTGGGGGGTTTAGTGTGGAGAAGAGAAGGCTCAGGGGGGACCTGATCGCTCTCTGCAACTGCCTGACAGGAGGATGGAGCCAGGAGGGGGCTGGTCTCTGCTCCCAAGGAACAAGGGATGGGACAAGAGGAAATGGCCTCAAGCTGCACCAGGGCAGGTTTAGCTGGAGCTGAGGAACAATTCCTTGCCCAGAGGGTGCTCAGGCATTGGAACAGGCTGCCCAGGGCAGGGCTGGAGTCACCATCCCTGCGACTGTTCACAGGCCAGGTAGCCGAGGCCTCAGTGCCAGGGGGTGGTGGTGGGCTTGGCAGCGCGGGGTGATGAGCTTAAAGGTCTTTTTCATCCTGGTTCCTTCTATGATTCTGTATTTATAACCTCGCAAAGACACCATGGGCTCCACGCCAAGACATGCTTAACCTGTAGCACTTAATGACTTCATGAAGTCTTAGACATGTGCTTGAAAGCAAGCACCTCTCTCTCTTTGATCCTGCAAGGCCTATCACCGTACTAAGTCTATTCTCCAAACACACGCAGAAACAACAGGGCAATCTGGGCAGGGAGAGCTTCACTCTCCCCATCTCTCTGGGCTTGCAGCCCCTGGAAGGGACCAAAGTGTCCTTAGGAAGAGCTTTTAAGACTTTAGAAGCACTAGAGCTGCAACTACCCTGATTTACACGGGGCGGGCTGCTGCTCCGTAGGGACCCCGGTCACCCTGCGCCTCAGAAGGGCTTTTTTACCTATTTTCCTTATTTTTTCTTACTTAAAGCACACCCTTCAGGGACACTGCGCAGGAAAGCCAAGCAGGGCTCGTGCAAAGGCAAAAGAGGGGCTGCAGTTCCCAAATTAGAGCTTATTCGCACCAGAAAACGTTCATCCAAAGCTCACCCCGAACCGTGAGGCACC